AGTCAATCCAACTTCCCGCTCCAATCCCTCCCCCCCCACCCACCCCCCTTCCCCATGGGAGAAGATGAAAAGCTGCTAGAGACTGCTTTTTAACTTCTTGTGATATTTTACTGGACAGGATGTTCAGGGAAGCTGAGCTGAGAGAGTAGGAGCCAGCTGTTCAGAAACATGATGAGTGTAAGTGCTGGGCAATGCATATTTGTTCTGGATTTATTATTGAAAAAAAGATTGAGCGTTTAATACTTTAAAGAATATATAAGCCCAAGAGGAAAAATTTAAATGTAATGCAGTGTACCAGTCCTTAGATGTGGTGGCTCAATTAATTTTAAACTTTTCAGCAAGTTCAGAAAAGGCAGCATCCTTGTAAATTCCTGAGGGCTAAACTTAAAGAACAAACAATGTAATCTTCCATTTGTAAACTAGTAATTACCCTCCTCCCCATGTAATGAAGATATAGAGAAGAAGACATGTTTGAAGTTCAGCCTGGATGACAACCATGGTTCCTTCCATGGATACAGTGAAAACTAATGCAGCTACACATCTAAGGACTGGTAAGCTGCTACACTGTATATATTACATTTTTGTTTTTGGGTTTAGATACGCTTTAATTCCCATTGCTTCACAATCTGTAATAGTATGGACACAGTTTAGATCTGGATAAACTAAGGAGCAAAAGTTAAAACATCAACTTAAATGTTTCAGTTAAAGCTAAATACTTAAAGGAGAACTATGAGATGAGTGATTTCCACTCACCTCATAGTTCTAGCCAACCTGTGACAATGAGACTGTCACAGGTCGGCTCAGTAGATCGGGAGGTGAGTGAACACATACCAGGTTCTCTCACCTCTCGATCCTGTCACGGCTCTCTGCCGTGACAGGGGGAGGGGCTGGATTCCCCTCTCCCCGCTCCGATCTGCCTAGCGCTGACTGGCAGAACGGACGGGGGAGGGGGCGGGTACAGCTGGCTCTGCCTCTAGATAGGCAGAGCCAGCTGTCACTCACGCAGCTGGGCGGATCCCGTCATCTACGTCGGGATCCGCTCCGGCTGCGTCATCTCAGTATACCGCGAGCTGTAGCTCGCGGTATACTGAGCTTAGGGTAACGGGAGGACGCTAGTTTGTGTCCTCCCGTTACCCTAAGGAGAACTATGGGGAAAAACACTGACCCCCATAGTTCTCCTTTAAGACAGCAGTGAACCAACATCATGTGACTTTTTAAAAATATTTTTTTTTAAAGTAAGTTGTTTCTAAATGAAGAGAATCTCTGCAGACCATAAATAAGTTGTGCAGAAAATATTGAATAGAATTGAAAGACTGTATATCCACATATTGCAGTAGTCATTTTTTTCACGCATTGCTAGCTTTTGTTTGTGCTCAACTTGTAGATCCAGACCCCATTTATATATGTTCTATTTTTCATGCAACCAAAGCATCCTGATAGACATTTAATGGGGATCTTTGTGGGGTAAATCGCTGCACCTGTACTGCACAACTAAATGCAATATGCCATGTCCTTTCCTTGTATGCAAGATTTCTAGCCACAATGCATGTCACAATACTAGAATAATACACTTATTGTGTAAGGTCAAGATAGTATTCATATAGCAAAATCTTAGCTCATTTGGGCACTGTAAACAGATAAGCGTTCATAAGGCTCCATTGCAAAACTGCTTATAAACTCATAGCTCAGTCTCTTTTTGTCCATACACAGTGGGGTGTGGTTTGCCCAGATCTCAACCTTGTCCATACTCTTACAGCGCGTGTGTGGATATCCATACTGAGCTCATCTTACTAATATTGTACTCTGGGAACTGTGCTTTTAATTTATTTAAATTAATTTAGATGTGTATTGGTCTGTGTGTAGTGGTTGTTTTTAGGAAAGCACATCATGCATCATATGTAGGAAATGAAATCCTTTATGCTGACGGCGTGAAAAAAAATGTAGTATCCTATGTCATGTCATGACATGTAATACTTCCTGCTAGTACCCTTAAACCTATGATTTATTGTCCTTTTTAATCATTTATATAGCGATACACTGACTCATTTTAGAGCCTGTAAATGAGCTTTCTCCAAGATCGAAAGAATAAAAATATATCTTGGATAAGGCATTCTTGAGTACTGTTGCATATTATGTTATAGACTAAGATAAGTAGTATTTAAACTCTGCGTAACCTATATCTCATAAAGTATTCTGCCTTCAATCCTGAATTTAGCTGAACAGAGCAGGCTCTACAGCAGGGGTAGCCAAACTCCGGCCCTCCAGCTGTGGTGGAACTGCAAATCCCATGAGGCATTGCAAGATTCTCACAGACATGACTCCCGGAGAGAGATGCATCATGGGATTTGTAGTTTCACCACAGCTGGAGGGCCGGAGTTTGGCTACCCCTGCTCCACAGTGACATCCAAACCCCAGCCCACCCATTGGCTTTTCACTTGTATTCTGCCCTTAGCACATACACACCACACTTGAGCTGGCCCCTCCAGTATAAAGAGTTCATACCAGTACCAATAACCATATTTTACACCAGCAGTGTGTCTTCATTTACCCCTCAATGACAAGTCCCCAGTGTATGTGCATTAACCCCATAGTGATTACTAACAAGGGTATGTGCAATACCCTTTCAATGACCATTGCCCGTGAAGGCATTAACCCCTTAATGCTCATAGTAGGGTTACTAAAGAATTATTGCAATATAATAATTGCTCTGAGTTCATTAAATGTATACAAATGACCATTTAGAAACTATGGAGAAGATGAGGATATTTTTCTGTGTACATTTTGATGTAAAGTTGAAAGGGGAAAAAGGTTCTTCCAAACACTGCTGTGATGCAGTGAAGGTGAATGCACCATTTCTGGCTGAGCACTGCGCTATAATGCACATCTGTCGGCAAGATGTGTTGGGAGTGCCATTCAGAATGAGTAGTACTGCGCCACAGCGATGAATGTAACATGCCTTGCCGCAATGCAATTGTGTAAATGGGCTCTAAAACTTCCACTTGGTCATTTTCTTGAGAGGCAGTTAAGGACGAAGCTGGAGAAAAAGATCTCCTCAAATAGTATTCTTTAAGAGTGCCCTATATTAACCAAGTTGACTATTACAGCTCTAATCCTTCCCTTCTTTATCAAAAACAAAATAAAAAGTTTGGGGAATTAGGGCAAGTTCACACGAGATGCAGTTATGATGCAGTCCCTTCAGTTTGCCAGCTGCATCAAAATCGCGTCACAAGGCTTTCCAATGGGATTTCTGGTGCTCTGTTCACACCAGTGCAGTCAGTTCCGATGGAGTCAGAAAAAAATCCTGCTCGCTACATTTTAGCTGCACCTGATCGCAGTGGAAGGCATCAAAACTTATCAAAAATGCATGCAAACTGGAACGCACTGGACTGCACCTGAAAGCCCATTTTAAGCCTAAAATATGTAAAAATCATGATAAAAACGCGGCAAAACATATTGCACTGCAGCTGCGCAGACAGACGCAGTTCTGTTGCAACCATGGTGTGAGATAGCCCTTCAAAAGGTTTGTGTAGTCTACAAACTGACAGTACTAAATAATAGGTTTATTTGGTGTAACTGAAACCAAATTGTAAATATCTGTTTCTGTGTACTCTGTTTTTATTATTTCAGACAGTTTATTGGAAAAAGTCATGCGTCTGTCTTTTCACCTATTAATCTTCTGCAGTATAACAGTATCTGTTCTCTCTCACAAAAAAAAATTCAGATACAATAAGAGCTCATCCTTGGGGCTCCATGCCTGGAGGATATTCTTTTGACTACTTTTGCTTACAAATGTTTGACCTTGACTTGGGATCTTAAAAGATGGGTTGCTCGAGGCATAAGGTCACACAGCTGTAAATAAATACTAAGTTTTCAAATGAGACTGAGCATGTTCTGTTGGTGTCAAATGCTGCTTGCTGTGTTTCCCACACCCATTGAATAGGTACACCGAGATGCCATAGAGGTGGGAAGCACTGAGAAAACAGGTGCCATTGTGTTCCTGAGCTTCTGTAATGTATGCAAATACAGTGTAGCTCCCAGTTTAGCTGAACTCAAAGCATATATAACAAAAAATCACTGATTCATTAAAAATCATTAAAAACATTTTAAATTTAGCTTGTGTACATATCCAAACTTGTGTTGACCTCAGACTCCAGTAATCAACAGCAACGCTGACCTTGTCAGAGGAATGACCAGCACTAAGGGCCAATTAGGCTTTGTTGCAGACAGTAAACATGCTGGTAAGAGGAGAAAGCAGAATTAGGACTCACGGGTGTGCCAATGCTACTTTATTGATCACTCGGCATACTTTGAAGTGTTTTGATGGACCAAGCAGTGTCGCCAGTGTCGTTGAGGTTCAGCACCTTGCTTTACTATATAGTAAAAAAATAGTGCTACAGGCTGTACAACTCTAGTTTTAAATGCATAAACACAAACCTACATTTTAATGAAAGCAACACTGAATCTTTTGGTCAGAGTTTGACAGGAACTTAATGGAATTTCTCCAGTGGGGTTACAAGCAAATGGAAGTACTTTAGTGCTAGTTTTTTTGGGGGGCTATTGATGTTTTTGTTGAAAAGATTTCACTCACTTCTGAAAAAAAGGTTTTGGTTGGAGTTGAGCCTTAATTTTTTATTTTTTGGTCTGTGTTTTTTCCTTAAGAGTTACAGTTGCCCAGAGATTGATGGTGGTCATGAGACAAAGTCAAAATCTCAAATCCCCCATCTTCCTTGTAAAGAGGGTACATCCTAAGACAAAATTTCTAACTAACATGAACATAAATATTTTTGTTGTTCCCAATAAAGATTTTTTACCCATTTACCTATTTTCCTCTCCTGCCCTTTTGTGAAAAAAGGTAAGTAATTGGATGGTTTATACAGATGAGGTCTTTATCCACAAAATGCAGTGAATGGGCAACCAAAATAACAGCTTCAAAGGTTTTAACATGTTTAATTAGGTACTTGGTAAAATACTTATTTTTTTTATTTTTTTAACTTTATTAGGATTATCTTAATTGTATATGTGATCAAAGAAGACTTTCCCTGGGATCAGAAGATCGATCTGCTCTGTTTGGAAATATAAGGGATATATACCATTTCAATAGGTAAGGTGATAGTTTCTTAAAACTAATAATGAAAGGGCAGCCAGAATACCTAGAAAAATGTTTTCTTAGTCATTGGCCAATAGACTGTATAATCTATTTTCCTTGAATAACCGCGTTGCAGTTGGCGCATTTCACAATAATTTCCTAATCATTTGTAATGGCACCCATGGATATCAGCTGCTTGTTGCAGATATATGTCAAAATTGCAGGTTTTCTACAACAGTAGTGCTGTCTGAAGGTTTAGATGAACACTGCAGATAACTGAAAGCCTATAAACGCTTTTTGCCTTATAAACGGTTTTTGCCTAATGCAGTATTATGCAAAAGGGGACACAATTACAGTAGATACATGCTCCAGTTTATATTTCTTAAGGTGTCATTGCTCCTCTATAGTAACGAGAGGAGCTGAAAGGTCCTTTGACATGAATGGAGTGTCATGTGTAGCACACCCGTAAATCTTTGCTTTAATAAATATGCGGGTACAACACCTACCTGAATATGGTGACCCAACACCTAGTAACAAAAGAATGGCAGTACAACAGACCCAGCCTGACTTTATTTTTGTCTGCTAAAATTGTAAAGAGGTTGGGTATGAAGACACAAATTCAGAATATACTGCTCTGCTATTGTATACCTAGACCGCATTCAAAGATAGTTTAGTAATGCTAATTACCAAGATGACTAAATAGTAACTGCTAACTAGTACTGACAACTTGAAAAGCACAGTCCACAATAAAACTCTTAACATCCAGGTGAGGCCCCTAATCCCCAATACTACCAGATGGAAATTTGTGAGTCCTGGTGGGGGGGCTGCCTTTCACTGTGAATACAAATGGAATACCCTGGAATGCTAGAAAGATTCAATGACAGGTTCAGCTTCTCCTGATCATTGGACTTTACTCCCTCAAATGAGAACAGAACCTTTTGGATCCTTACAGGCAGACAAATGGCAGTAGTATAATTCCTTATCAACTCAGCAACTGTTTAAATCATCTGGAGCAACACTTCTAGAGTAACAAGCCTTTGTGACAGGGAGACACAAACTGAGAATTGTCCAGCAGTTTAGAGACTCCCTAGTCCGTAAAGGTTATACCGCCCACAATTAAAAGTGGCGGCAGTCCCCGTTTGGTATGAAGGTTTATTAAAGGCAAGTGCTACCACAGGAATTCTGGAATTTTAGATTTGCAGCCACTGTATCTCAAGTTTAGATTTCAGCTTCCCTCCAATGGAACAGTTAGCAGAAATGGCTGGTATGCAGAAGCCCACAAATCTCTTGGGTGGATGGAATGGGGGATCAACAACTTAGTCTGGGTGAAATGCTTTTATCCTCACTTGAGATCTCTCCAGATGAGTGTGTAGACTGGGGGATCAACAACTTAGTCTGGGTGAAATGCTTTTATCCTCACTGGAGATCTCTCCAGATGAGTGTGTAGACTGCTGCTGCCACATAGCAAGTGAAAATGTCACTTTTTGCTACATGTGACATCCAAGTATAAAGCACGAAGCCAATACCATAGATAAGATGCTAATGTTGTAGGTGTGCAAAGTGCTAATGTTGCTTGTTGTAGTTCACTAGCCTAGTCTGAAATATCACACTGGGGTAAATATCTGCAAGTCTCACCTTGCTGTTAAGGTGGAGAGACACTGAAAGTTTATTGATGGGAAAAGCAATGGCAAATATAAAAGTCACCCTTTATCAGCTTGAACAGAGAGGGATTGAACCTTTAAAGATACGATCTTTGTGCATTCCATTTGCCATCTGAGAATTTCTCTTTGAGAAGGTAGATGAACCGTGCAAATATTGGCACCAATGTTGTGCAATATATTATCCATGCCTGTGTATCAGGCTGAGCCTTATATACTGGAAACCTGAATTTTAAGACATGGCACTGGAGCACATGAGGGTCAGAAAAATCATTTTCCGAATTTTGCCATTATGTTCTTATTAAGTACTTTCTAAACATCTAAACAGCTTCCAGTTAAGCTGGCCATACACCTATAGATTATCCACAGATTTTCTATGGTCAGATGGAAAAAGTGCAACAGATTCCTCCATCTACGCTAAACTGTGTGGATGGAGGAATCTCCCACTGGGCCAAGCTTCAGTATCTTGCTAGTCGGCCCCGCTGGCTGACAAAATATCTGAACAATTCGATTTGGATGCAGGCATTGCTCAGGTATTTTGAGAGCAAGCGAGGTCGACTAGCAAGATACTGAATCTTGGCCCAGTGGGTTATTCCTCCATCAACACAGTTAAGCGTAGATGGAGGAATCTTTTGCACTTTTTCCATCAGACCATAGAAAATCTGCAGACCATCTATAGGTGTAGGGCCAGCATAAGCTTAAAGTGCAATTGACATTTCTGTTTGCATATTTTACATACAAATTAAACAGTTAAAGCTATGGTCATAATTTTCTAACAATTTGTAATTTTTTTTTTTTTTTTTAGTGAACTTCTTCAAGACTTGGAAAATTGTGACAATGACCCTGTTGCCATAGCTGAATGCTTTGTGTCCAAGGTATGTAGAACCTCAACACAATAAAAAGTGCTAACCTTAGTTTACTGTTTCCAAATTTGTCAAAGTTTGGTATTTTAACTAATTATGAAATGAAACCTGCACAGCATCCTGTAGCAACAACTAATTACTAATTGACTACTACTACCCATTTTATTTATTTTGTTAAATGTATGCTCCTGAATGCTAGCTTTAGAAATGTGTGCTTCCTCCCTCTCTTATGATTGCTGTACTGAATAGCAAGTGTTATTTTTTCACATATATTATTGTTGTTGTTTCCTTTATGCAATCAGTAATTCCATATGCCCTTTTGAAGATATTTTTTGTTTCTTACTGAGCTCTATTTTCATGTGAAACGTTACTATGGTCCCTTCCCCTTTTCCTTATGGAAATATTTTCTTATTCTCTTATTCTTCTGATTTGACCTAAACACATTTTGGGGGTTTCATTCAATTATCCCAATGCAATTGCAATGTGTTCTACACTAAGCACCTTAGTGTGTTGTTCGGGCAGACTTCATATTTTTGTCCTTTTTTTTCAGTTTTGTCTACTCCACTTTTTATCGGGATTGATCATCTTTCTACCCTCTCCCTTTTTAGGGCTCTGGGGTACTTGAAATCCTCCTTTACAGATTTGGGTTCTTCAATTTTGCTCCTGTTTTTGTCATAGATCCCCAGGGATTAGAGATTTCCTTCTAAAGGTGCCCATACACTGCACGATTATCGTACGATAATCGTATGCGATCGGTTTTTCGTACGATAATCGGGCAGTGTGAACGGAGACGTGCGACCGTTTCTACTGTACGGTCGCACGTCTTCTGTCGAACCAGCATGTTCGAAAACCAGCCGGGAATCGTACGATTCTCGGCTGGTTAGAACGGTGCTGGGAAGACAAATGCCGAACGGGCCGGTGTGCGCACGCGCACACTGCCCGTTCAGCATTGCGGTCATCGGGAGCCCGCCCCTCAGGGGGGCGGGCTTGCGATGATCGAGAGTGCGATCTGCCTGTCCAAGATAGGCAGATCGTACGTTTTTTTTAATCCCTGTACAACCATCGCAAGACTAAAGTCTTGCGATGGTTGTAGAGTGTATGGCCACCTTTAGCCTTTCAGCTTCCTATGAATTCCTTAAATGGACATGTTTAGTTCATCCAAGTCTCCTTTCTCTAAAATTAAGGGTTAGGTGTATAAAGCTTGAATGTTTTTCCTTTATAATCCAAAATGGTTTTTGTTATTTTTTTCCCCTTCCTTAGCTAAGTGCCTACTTGTCCTAGGGCACCTTTTATTTTAGTGCTGTGTTGTTCCAGCTAACTTTAGTGTATCCTTTATTTTACTATTTTAGGCCCATTCCATTTTTGGTACAGATTCTCCTCTAAGATGGTGTTCTGCCTAGTCTGTAGCTCTGAGTTCTGTCTCCCAGCTCTCTCCTTAGGATTGTTTCTCCCTTATAAATGACTTCCTTCAATCTAGCCTATTTTAGAGGTACTGATTTTATATTTTTTGATTCCACATTGTTGGGTGTCAATTAATTTTACTCACCCCCATTTACTCCTTAATTTTTATAAAATCGCAGTAAAATTACAATAGAATTAGTACTCTATATACTTTTCATTATGAATGTTCTTGCCCTCAAGATTCTTAATTGGAAAAGCTGCATTTTTTTTTTATGCCAAAAAAAACATACATTATTCTCCGCAGCATAATCTTAGTTGCTCTTGTTCCCTTAAGGAGCTCCATTTTTCATGTTCTGTTCAGTGCTGTATCTAAGATAAAATGTATAGTATGTATATTTGAACAGTGCATATACTCGGCTAACAAGCAAAGCAGATTAAGTATTAAGGATTGCTTACATAAATTACAAAGACGCAGTACATTCTATTGTACCTCGTGTTACTGCACAACACATATATCTTTCTCTGGGCCTGCAATTCATATCTGTATGGTTTTTATTGAATGTGGGTCTATGTGGGAGGACAGCGTGTGAGACTAATGGGATTTGTTTAAAAAGAAACTGTATGCATTGTTCCATAATATGTGTTGTTCCACTCTGGTTCAGACTTATATGATTCAAATGTTATTTTCCATTTTAGGTTTGATTGGGCAATTCCAGTTATCCGAGTTAGGCCTTTTTTTTTTTTTTTTTTTTAGCTAATGCTGGATATGCACTATATAGTTTCATGGTGTTCTCAACCAGCTTTCAGCCACAAAGATTATCAAAAGTATTAATGGAACTTGTCACCAACAGTTTTGGTTACTAGAAATCATATTTTACAATGCTGACTGTTGTAAAATCAATTAATCCTTTTTTTCCCCCTCCAGAGTGAAGAGTTTCATATTTATACACAGTATTGCACAAATTACCCAAGGTAAGATTACTGAACACTGATAGTTTAGACAATATGTTAAACTTGTATGGATGGTACAAACAAGATTTTAAAGATAAACTCCAGGCAAAACATTAAACACCTATTTGATGTCTTGTGCTTTAGACACCTCTATCAGACAGCACAGCCAGTTTTGGTGTACATGCAGGGGGGAATGCACATGTACTTTTTTTCTTCCTGTGGCCAGGCTATTACTAAGAGCCATGCTCACAGTGAAGACACCTAGGTCTGAACATCTCGCTGTTATTCACCACTATGAAAACATCCACTGAGCAGTTCTTATCATTCTGGCTGTTGTTCCGGTCTGATAATCAGATTACTCCCCGTAAACTAATTAGTTCGGAGGAGCTGTGTAGAGTTACATTTCACATAGGGACCTTTTGGCTGTAGGTTTGTGTCAACAGCTTTTGGGCTGGTGTCAATAGCATCAGTGGGACATAAGTTGGAGAGCCTTCTGAGATCATTCAGGATTCATTGACAGGTTCATTTGACCTGCATTGACCTCCATCTGAACTGCATTTTATTGCTTAAATAAGGTTTTGCATTGCCAAAGACTTGTATAAAGTTCCCAAAAGCATGCCAACAGATCAGTAGGGAATGTTCCTAAATTTAGACAAAATTAGAGGGAGTAACTAGGTAATGGGAACACAAAAAGCACTTAATACGATACACTGCAAAGGTAAGCGCTATGTTACTAAGATTTTCTAGATTTCTGGCCAAAACCGCATAATCTGTTTTCAGTGGACACCTGTTATTTAGTTTTTAATAGCACTGGAAGGAGCTGTACAATAATAGTCTATGCTATTTTTGCAGGTCTGTGGCTGTATTAACAGAATGCATGAGAAACAAGATCCTTGCTAAGTTCTTCCGGGAAAGACAGGAGGCCCTCCAGCACTGCCTTCCATTAGGGTCCTACCTTTTGAAACCTGTTCAGAGGATCCTTAAGTACCACTTGTTACTGCATGTAAGTATTCCCAGGTGGATAGACTCTGGCTGAATTGACAGCACAAATGTGTTCTCCAAATCGTTTATAAAGGAACGGAAGCAAGAGTAGTTTGGCTGAAGATCAAATACTAGGTGTGGCTGGCAGTGAAAGTCATGGTCTTGAGTACATTAGCTTAATAAGGCTTTAATGACTTAAGACAAGTCATTGTTTACTTATTGTTACTGCTAATAATTAAGCAAATTTTGTTGCCTACAGTCTCTTAAAATAGCTGAACTTATTTTGTTTTTTAAAATCTTGTCATTCATGTACTGTACAAAAGAAGAACCCAGCGAATAGTAGCAAAGCAAAAATACGTGTTCAAGAACTAGGCTAAAAAATACATTTAAAAGGTCTAGAATACATGTAGTTTTACATATTCTGGGACAGAATACATTCTACGAATACTGTTGGGGTTAAGCTAAAATTTAAAAAAAGGTTATAAAGATAGCTAGAATCAGTGACATTTAAAAAATTTGATTTTTAGAGAGATATTTGCTGCACACAACAAATTTCCTGCTAGATTATGATTGTTTTCGCTCTTTTCAATTTGATTACCAGAGCGTTATTGTTATTTTTTGTTTTTTGCAGGTCAGATAGGCCTTTCATTTGTTAGTAAATTTGAATGTGGATATTAATTCCTTGGTTTTAATTGAAAATAAATAGTAAAATGAAATACAATTTAAAATACTTTTTTCTGTAATTTTTCCCAGTGCAGCAGTTAGTTACCAGTCAGTAGCCTGCTAGGAACTGGACTACAGGGGCGCCGGCAGTCTTCTCGGCAGTCCCGCTTCCTATCAGGGCCGCTTTACCCAATGGGCAACTGCTCAGGGCCCACTGTCACATCTAGGGCCCACATCCACAGCTTTCACTTAGTTCCTTGCGGCCGTAAGGAACTGTGCGTGCCTGAGATGCCTCTGCCTCCTATCCGATCACACTGCCTATCCACAGTGCAGCGGCGGAGTGTTCTCTTTGGTTCTGATGACAGAGCGGGAACTGAGCTGAGGAGAAGGAGACGGTGAGACAACACACGTCTGACAACTGGAAGCCTGCCAGAGATTTGTGAAAGACTCTCCTAACTTCAGCAGAGGAACTTCTGCCTTACTGTGTGTGGCCCTTAAATTAGTGAGCGACCCTGCATGCTGCTGATTGTTTGTATATGGCACTGAGGTTTAGCAATCATTTATATGAGAATACAAGTTACTATTCTTTACATTGCTGAGCAATCACAACAACGCTGCCCCAAATGCACCCATCCTTGTTGCTAAATGATGGCTCCCCCAGGGAATGGGTAAGTGGGCACTGCCAAATACCATTCAGTGGGATGCAAATCTTTTAATGTGGCTTAAAGGACAACATTAAAAATACACAATTCCTTTAAAGGCTCATTACACTTTTTTTGCAAAAAAAATTAATACATGGATGTTTTTTTCTTTTTGCAATATTGAGTACATTTATAATTTTTTTGCAAACATAGTGTTGTCTGTGAAGGTTTTTTGGTGCCCATAGACATTAAATATTTCAGCTGGATTGATTTTGATTGTTTGTTTTGATGCTTGTTTGATTTGATGCATGTGTGTTCTAATGTGTCTAGCTGGAAGCTTGCACTGGGAATTTACGTTAAGGGGTCAATGAAGGACAATCCACAATTGTTTTGAACTTCCAGTGTGTCCTGTAATAGGATTTTGTAGTTGAGGATCATTAGCATTTAGCTGTCAATGTATTAAAAGGCTGACTATTCTAAGCCAGTGGTACAACTGAAACATTTGTCATTATTGTGAAACATCATCTATTTTAAGCTCTAAATATATATCATTTTTCCATGAACTAGGAGATATCCAACCACCTGGACAAAGATACAGAAGGATATGATGTGGTACTTGATGCTATAGACACAATGCAGCGAGTTGCATGGCACATCAATGACATGAAGCGGAAACATGAACATGACATCCGGCTACAGGTCTGTTTTCACAACATTGTAATAGTGGAATTCCTACACATCAGTCTAAACCTATCTTATAATAAATAGATAAATACATATACTATGATTTAAATATAATAATGAAATGTGGTGCTGTTCAGACTGTGCAACTAATTCTCTAGCAGTTGTCCTCAATAGGTGACCTTCTGTAGTGGAATCCTATCCTATTCTATCCTATATATTAAAAGCTTATTTTGACTAAGGATTCTGCCAGTGTTTCTTGTTAGTGCTCCGTGCATAGAGTAGAGCCCAGATCAGCCCTGACCAGCTGCTCTCAACATATGGTGAGTGATAGCCCTGTCATGCTGATCACAGGATATGTGCGTTTCAATCCTTCCTCTGTGTGTTATAAAGAGAGATTATAACTTTCCTTTTCATTGCTGTAGCATTTTGTCCCTAGGAATTAATGTAGCAGGAAACCACATGTACCTCCTTAAATCCGACCTCTGCCCTGGCCTGCATGGCATCAACAAGGAGTCCTCTACATACACATTTTTCAGTTGCAGCTAGCAGTGCCCAAACCCTGTGACATAGTTAGTCAGTCAGGTTTAAAAAGAATAGTGATATTCTTTTATCATAAATGTCTATATCCCCATCACATGTTTCCTTCACAAGAAACTTTGACCTCTGCGGTCTCTAAGGCCCCATTCACACCTAGGCGTATTGTAATATGCGCGTCTGTCGCACGTTTTTTTACCGCGATTCGCGGTAAAAAAGTCACGCGACCCCAAAGGCTACTTGGCAGTATCCAAATGGAAAACGCCCTACAAAACGGCCCAAAGTAGTCCCAGGGCCTTTTCAGGTGTGGGCCGTTTTGTAGGGCGTTAGGGACGGGCGGAAATACGCCTGGGTGGGAACGAGGGCATTGACTACAATGCTATTTATTTTTTTGACCGTTTTGTAGAGCGTTCGTCGAGCATAGGACGCGCTACAAAACGTTCAGGTGTGAACGCAGCCTAAATGCCCAGTCCAGTGTCAGAACTACATTCTGTGCCCCCCTTCCCCCTGCCCCCCCC